ACCCTGTATAATTAGAAATAAAATACGTATTTTTCAATATTACAATATTTAAGACACAATTGCAATAGGCACCTACTTAAATAAAAAAATAGTAAAATAGTAAAAAATTCTATCGCCAAGGATGATTCGACGATTCATCCAGTATACAGACGGTCGGGATTCAGCATCTTGCAGCACGTTTTTACAGGAAAAATCCTGCAAACCCATGTCCGGTGTTAGCGTCATGAACTTGTGGAGGTTCCATTAGCCCAGTTATGTTTCAGTTAGCAAAGACAAGAGACGGTTGTTCCTGTGTCTTTATATAGTGCAATATAACTAAACTTTCTGGAACAGTTTTAGTGCCTAACTATACGCAAAGGTAAGTAGGTGTAGGTACCTCGAATTTTTGTTTTGTAAAATGTCTAATTACATTATTAGTTCTTAAAATGTAGTCGAGAAAATACATGTATGACGTTGTTGCTCATAATGTTACTGATCATGTGTTATTTATGTCGTCACCAACATCAATAAAGTATACAGATCTGACAAGATCAAATAAACGTGCCTGCTTTGCCTATGCCAGATCGAAACATTCAGCAATCTCTCACTCCTCCTCCTTTCGACGCTCTCGACTCTACCAAGTACCCTTCGTCGGAGGATCCACAAAAAATGGATTGTCGAATACATCTGACACTGACGAGAATATCGAAAGGTTGTATAAACATGGCAAGTCGCGCCAGCAACGAGCTTATTTCGTTAGATTTATATGGATACGACACTGGCTGGTTTTTGGCGCGACTCGTTTTATTTACACGCACCTTTATGTTTTATTGTTCCCTTTGTTTTAATGTTTTATATTCAAAGAATAAAAATAATAAACAATTTATTGAGTAGTTTTTTCCTGTTTCTATTATATCGCTTTCCATTTTCGATAATTTATTTATGCCTAGTATTGTTTATTGTTACTCGTAATCAATCTTATTGCATAATTATAACTATTAGTATGAAAACATTATTTTAACTCATTTTAAAAGTATCCGGATACTTGTATCCGAGTATTTTTTAGGTTAAAGTATTCTAAAAAGTATACGGATACATAGTAATTATCCGTATCCGGTACTCGGATACTTTTTTCCTGTATCCGACCCAACTCTGCCGGGGAAGAGACGGCTATTATTAGTAATTACCGTGGCGCTCCGGGGCGACTTAAAGATGATTGAAGGAGTCATTTGACTTACAGCTGAGGAAAACCCAACCCACTATCAAAGTAACGATTAGTATAAACGAGTAACGAATACTTAAAAGTAACCATAATCAACATCTCTACACATAACGTTTTGCCCTATCGAAAGTACGAATAGTCGCCGGCATATGCTTGTGACACAGAGCTGGACGGCTCTAATTCAGTAGGCGCTATTCCATTTGATTTCGAACGTATCAAAATCTGCCGGCTGTTCTCAATGGGCGCGCTTCTTTAGTCTGTGATTTCAAATGGGTATACAGTCGACAATGTGGTCTGCTTGTTTTGACGCCTGGCATGATTTTGTACGAACAGCAACCCTGCATACTATTGAAGAAAGAACAGAAATTGAACAGTACTTTTGCAGTTTTCCTACTTCATACACAGGATTTGACGGTTTTGCTGCGGAGCTAACCGAAGTGAAGCGATACAGAGTGTAGACAAATATTATATTAATGCTAATAACAAATATAGCGAAATTCACGAAGTCGCCCGATAGGGTTCGATGTTTACTACCACCTCTTCAATTACGAAAGTACTGTTCAAGTTCTGTTTACGCTCCACGACAAACAATGAAGTGAAAAGGTGGTGTCTACTATAGACAGAGGCTAAATTCTTAAGGCGGCTTTCTTCAAACCATAACTACTCTGGAAAGTCTACAAAAATCATACTGTCATAGAAGTACCTGAACCAATCGTTAGTTTAAAAGAGCAACTAACTGGCCTATTGAATTTTAAACGCTTAACAGATTTGGAACGAATGTAACAAGCCAAGTAAATATACAATTTGGAGCCAGTAGAAACTAACAAATTTAATACATACCTTAAAAATATTCTGATCGTTTTACGATATGGCTAACTCGAAGGATGATACAAAATAACAGGCAGTAGCGGCTATCTGAAACTCTCTGAGAAATAAAAAAGCCAGTTACTGAGATAGGAAGTTGATGCGAATTAACGATGTACCAAGACATAACATTTTAAATAGACCTACGTGGATCAGTTAAAAAGGAAGAAAATTATGAAAGGTAAGACTTATTGAGATTTAAATGTTGCCGACCCCGCTAAACATAAGATGTTTATATAAAAATAGAGATGAAGAGCTGTCAAGATGCTATGTAACAAAACTACTTTACCATGTGTATAAATTGATATGGATGCGGGTTTTGTGTACGCCCCTGATCATTTTCAACTAAGGAAGGGTAGTGCGATTTGTGGCTTTATATTGATTTTGAAATTTGTTTTGCAAAATAGCAAAGAAACGCATTTGTTAAAAGTGTTTGTTTTCAAAATTGTCATTAGATAGAAAGACCTCCGACAAAGCAAAGTAAATATCCAGTTCGATATTTAGGATTATAAATTTTGTTCATCATAAACATTGAATTAATGATGTACCTTTCGGAATAAAAAAATAGTGTAAAGAATTTCATTGTATCCTTTTTCACCAAACGGTTGGTGAAAGGACTGGCCGCAAGCCAACAACGGTCGCGATTAGAGAGCCATTTCAGTTAAATTCAAAACATTGCATACAATTAGCAGATTCATGAAAGGCGCAGTTCCACTGAGAGTGGAGTAATGATATCTACGAAAAAGGTTACATGAATAAATTTCAGATTCATCGAATTTAAGCAGCCAGGGCAGATTTCGATAAAGAAAGATTCAACGAAATGATCATTTAGTTACTAATTGTCTTTTAAATTTAATTTTAGAAATTTCTTATCAAATTGAACCCGCCTAATTTTGTTTGGAAGCGTCGCAGAACTCATTTGCAGGAGAGAGGGAGTGGGGCAAGATTTATCGACTGGACAAGTAAGAGGACATTTCCCGATGGGAAATGAAATACTCAACGTAAAAATTCTGTGCTCTGAAAATGTGATCAGTCCGAATGAAATGAACTGCTAATAGCCTGTTAAAGTTTAAGAGACAATAAAGTGCCAGGAATGGTCTTGCAACTGGCGGTAATATTCAGGAAATGGAAAATCATGGCGAAAAAATGGAAGCTGGTTCTATAACAAGCCAAGGGTTGCTTGGGTTTGTAGAGACAGTGATTAAGAATTCCTACGTAAATCATAAATATACTTCCTCAAGGAAAAATGGATATATTTGTTTATAAGTTAAATTTTAGTTGCCAATACTTATAACTGAGATATTAAGAACCATATTTAAGTTGAGAATAAGTAAACTATAGAATTTTTTTTCACTGGTGTGATGGCACATTGATATTTTCAAAATTATAAATACTTAATAAATATTCATTTCGTTTAAATAAAATTAGCTAAGAAAAATATTTAAAACCTAGATATTCTTTTTAATTACTTGTTTAGATATTTCTGTACCTTTAAATTCGAAAGCCAATACTGTACACATTTATTTTCTCTTTCTAAATTATCAACAATAGCAAATAACAGAGTATCTACTTATTAACTAGATGAAACATTACGTTTCGAAAAAAAAAATGTATTTATTGGCAATAAGCTTAACAATTTTTTTATAATAAGGCTTCTTTTAATAAATAAAAGAATTTAATTAGGTACTATTATGCTGAAGAACATTTTAAATAAAATTTGGAGATATGTACAATATAATTACATATGCAACTAAATAAAACGTAATATTCATGTAAAAAAGTGAATACTAATATTTTGTGTTGGGCATTTTACCGATAAATACATAGCGTATTGCGATAGAGAGAACGATTCTTTTTAATAACTATTCCGATACACCAAACATTATGTACAACAAATGGGTGCTTTTAAAGCTAAAGAACATTAAAAAAATAAACAATAGAGTATAATAATATTAATAATAAAAATATAAATCACAATGAAAATAGTAGTTTTTATTATTGTTCTTGGTACGAACGAAGATGAAAGTGTAAAAAATACCCTGTTAGTTAAACGGAAACTTTCAAACATCCTAGAAGTTTAAAATTGCAATTAGGGCTGGGCGATTATCAAAATAATCGATTAATCGAAATAAATAATCGATTTATCGAAAATAATCGATTATTTTGCCCACCCCTAAGGATGACGGTAATTTGATGGAGAATTCGGAAATAAGACTATTAATTGCGTTAGTTTTAATTTCAGGGCCCTCTAGGTTGATAAAAAAATTGTTACGTATGGTAAAGTGTGACAATTCATTTGAAAACTAATTTTATTGCTAATTCAATATACCACATTAATCTAAAAATCTCCATATTGCACTTATATAAAAAATGACTAATTTTCAGACTTGCATGGGCAATATTTGAAGTTATGTGGTGCATTGAATTAGTAATAAAATTAGCTTTCAAATGAAGTGTTACATTTTACAATACATAAGTTTTTTTATCATGCTAGAGGGCGTTAAAAACAAAAGTAAAGCAGTGAATACTCTTATTGCCGAATTCACCATCAAATTACCTTTTCAATGATGTGCCATCTTAGGTACTATTCATTTTGCATTTCCTTAAAATCCAATGAATACTGTCAAATAACAGTGTGGACTGTAGATTTAAAGAGTGGTAATAAACTATTTAAAAAAATCATCCTTTTGAATAAACGATTTTTTTATGTCGATTATTCGAATGATAAAATTCAAATTTCGATTATCCGATTAATCGAAAATAATCGATTAAAGGAAAATAATCGATTAAACGAAAGTAATCGAATAAAAAATAACCTTTCAAACAAGCATTTTTTTTTGGATGTCGATTATTCGAATGATAAAATTCAAATTTCGATTATCTGATTAATCGAAAATAATCGATTAATCTAAAATAATCGACTAATCAATTTTTTCCCACCCCTAATTGCAATTTTAAATTTTTTAAACTTCAATGTTGATAGTTTATAGCCTCATGAAAAAGTCTCAACGAGAAGAAATAATGTAAAATTATGTATGATCTCCTAAGTAGCTTTTAAAGTGTAAGATACGGTACAGAAATGTTTGAATGAGTACGCTGTGATAAAAAACTAGTAAACATAGCTATACTGTTAGATGGCGAGGACGACGATTACAAAAAAATCGTAGAATACTGAATTGAGCACATATTTTGGAAAACAGATAGATTGAAGGTGACTTCCAGACAGCTCACTATCACTGTTGTACACCTGATGACAAGTAATCCACTCAGTGTCCTACGGTAGTTTATTAGCCATTAGGTGAGCATCAACCCAGGGGGAAGAAACTCAAATGGAAAAACACGAGGAAGGTAATTTAGAACCACTCCAATTAACGGGATGGCGGTCGTGTCGAAATTACAGTTGTCAGTTCGTACAAAACTTCAAAATTATAATGACTGTTGCAGTTCAAAGTGCATTGAATTTTAATTCACCCAGATATATTTTCACAATCTTTCTTTGCGTTAATGGCATGTAATATTTATAAACTTGTTTTTGTTTCAGTGAAAACAATATTGGTTTATTTTAATTTCATTTTGTTTTCAGTTTTTAATGATCATTCTTATTGTAAAGAGATTGTTGACTCCCAAAATATCCTGTTTGTGTTGAAAACTGTGAGCGTCAGCTATCAACATTAAAAATTAATTCAGTGCCATTGACGACATCAAACAAGAAAAATGTTCGCCAACATTTTCAAGGGTCCAAAGTTTGTAAATTTTCTTTAAGTTTTGAAGCTAAATTCATTTATCACAATGCCCAGAGGATGAATAAGAATTTGAAAAACTACAAGTGGTGCACACATAAATCCATAAAAAAATATCTGCTGAAGAAATGCTCTCCAACTCAACTAGTGGGCTTGATAAGAATATGGAAAATTTTATCTTTACTCAAATTCGCCTTAATAGTAAGAACTCTTATAAAGGATCTTGAACGCTATACATGCTGATTTTGTTGCAAAAAACGTTTATGATAGGTTTGTTTTATAAATAATAATTGAAGACACAAGTATTTTGATAAATAACGGCTATTCATCAAATAGAAAGGTATCATGAGCCATATTATCATAATGCAATTGTAAAACTTTAAACTTGTTTTTATCGAAATAATGTTTTTGTGGCATGACGCCTTTATCCATTCGTGTCTTCAATTATTTAAATGGTGTAAATAATGCACATTTGTCTGAGCATTCCCAACGGCAACACCTCGGTCTGTAGAGCCAGAACTATTTGATTTTTGTTAAATCTGTTTTCACAACGAAATGTATATTAGAAATGGCAAACGTTTAAAAATAATTTAATTTATATAGTGTTCTCCTTAAAAAAAAAAAAAAATGATACATATCAAAGTTATGTTTTTTATTTTATATTTGACTTGCCTTTGATTTTCCCATTACAATATTACCAAATAGTATATTATAATTCAGGGTATTTTACACATTATAATCAGTTTATATGAAAATAGTATTGATTTAAATTATCTGTATACTGCAATTGAAAACCAATTTTTAGCAGTATAAGTGTTTCGTTATTAGTTAACATTTTATGTTACTTTCTTCAATTCTAAACAAATCTGTACAGGGTAAATCGATAATAAACTACAACTAGATAAATTCTAATTATTAATTAACAAACGGCCCATTTCCTATTAACCAGTGACCAGTTAAAATTAAAGCATTTTGTGAATTATCTTTTTTTTTTTTTTAATTTAAAAATCTCCCAAAATTATTAACTTTTGGTATAGGGAACGCTTAACTCAAATGAAACTTTAATTAAGGTACTTTTGAATGGTGATATAAAATATAGTGGTAAATTAAAAAAAAAAATATAAGAAATTAATGTATTTGAATATTGACTAACCCTGTACAGATTTGATTTTAATTAAAAAAAATTGTCCATTGGCATAAATGTTGACTAACATCGAAAAACTTTTACCCTAAAAAAATTGGTTTTCAATTGATTCTTTTGTAGTAAACAGGTCATTGAAATTAATAGGTAATATAAAAAGCGAAAGCAAATCAAATATAAATAATAATAATAATAATAAATAATATAAATATAAAAAAATCTAACTTTTATATATACCACTTTACTGGAGAACTCTGTAAAACAGTTTTGGCTTTATAGTCCGAAGCGATACCGGTAGTCCACTCTGTAGAATTCTAATTTTGCCATTAATTACCAATTTAAATAAATTGAATTAAAAATTGTTACACACAATATGTGTCTATGGGATGTTACATTATTAAAATACATAAATTTTGGAATCACTAAAAAGTGTGGTCATAGAAAGTGCACAGCACTTTTCCCACTCGATTGCTTTAGGCCTCGCTTCATACCAATCATACCACTAATCCAGTATTTTTATATAGACCTCCTCCTGTTTAAGTAAAACAGTATTCAATTTCAATAAATTAGGATTATCCTGTAAACCTCTCAATTAATCAAAAATCATTTAATAAGTTACTTTCAGCTTTTTTATAATTTGATGAATAAATAACTTTTAACAGCATATTGTTGATTTATAATTTGTTAATTCCCTTAGGATTAGCCTCAAAAAAATTACACGGGCTCGTTTTTAGTATTGGATGGATTCGATTCCACTAATTTCCTTCATGGAAATTAAAATAATTTTATATTTTCGTTCGCACCAAGAACAGTGAGCAGGAAGTACAACTCCTAAAATTTTATTTATAGATTATTTTTTACTTAAAAATTTAATTGATGATGTTTGTTTAGTCTAAGAGTTTTTTTTATTACAAGGGAAAACTGGTTAAGGAGGGAATCAGTCGCCCGTATCCAGCCATTTGCTTTCTTCTATGATCCTTTCGAAACAGTCCATCAAGTATAAATTCTAAATAACAAAAAATTTTAAGTCAATGTTAAATTTTTCGCCGGTAGGACAAAAAAAAAAATAGAATTAAAATTAACAAAAATACTTACATATGGGGTAAATATTTTTAACCATTTAGGAGTTTTATCGGGCCTATTATATTTCAGGCAAAAAGCCATACCTAAAATACAGATATTGCAATTTAGTTAACATAAAATAATTATATTAAATAGATATACAGAGGTGACAGAGTTTAATTTTCCTCTACACGTTTTTTTTTGGATATTCCCAATATTTCTGCAGCTATCTTTTGTCGACCAACATTCAGTTTTCTATTCTTGCTTATAGGGCGTTACAACAAACCCTTTGATTTGGCATTTAGGAAGCTAACATTCTACGACCAGTTTTGCCCTATTTGTGGCTCTTCGGGCAGTAGCAGTCAGCTCGAATAGAATCTCTAATGTAAGCCTTATATTAGCAGTCGACTGGTTTAAATATATTTAAAAATAGTTTGAACTATTCCCATTCGAGTGACCAAATAATCACGTCAGGTTCAATTAGGATACACACACTAAAGGTATGCTGACTTTCGATTCAAAATTCGTCCAAACCGCGCATGACGTAATGCGGAACGAACTTTCAAGTTTTTTTGACACTTTTCGATTAAGTAGTGTAAAATAATTTAATAATTTATGTTTTTGTGTTAGTAGTGACTATATTTTCCTATATATAATAGGGAAGAATTAAATTAATGTTCAAAATACCGGGCTGCGCAGTGGAGATATTTCCGAATGCCACAGAATATAATAGAAGAAAGGGCAAACTCAATTGAAATTGCCCTATCCATTTTGAGGAAAGTAGTTGAGAGATTCCTCTTAAACATAAAGGCAAGAAAAGGAAACTGAATTCCAAGAGGTGCACGGGCCTCATTAAGCAAAGAAAATAAATCGGTATTTAAAAATTTTAGCAGATAAAACAGTAGTTTCCTGTCCCAATACAACGGTCCTTTTGAAGTAATGCCATGCATGAGCTGGACACGAACATATATAAGAATAAGATAAATGAACAGAAAAATTAGTTTTGAGTATTTTCAAAGTAAACTTGACAAACATTTTTAAATTTACCAAATAAAAAGTAATGTTTTTGTGTACTTACTTTTTGTAAATAAATAATTTGTTTCTGCACATTTATTTTTATTTCACATAATAAGACAAGTATTAGAAATAAAAAAATTTAAAAAAACCGACTTCAAAAACGTGCAGATGCCATCACCACATCTTAACCAAATTTATATGGCACCACCCCTGAGGTACCTCCTTACTAACAAAAGAAGAATTATATAAATCGGACAAGGTGGTAAAGCATTATCGCTAAACATACATAAAAAATGAAGAGTTTGAGGATTTTCTCATGGACCCAATTATTAGATTTTGACCAAATTTATATGGGACCACCCCTGAAGTACCCCCTTTTCAACAAAAAAAGAATCATTGAAATCGGACACCGTGTTAAAGAATTATCGCTGAACATATATAAAAAAATATATATCTGGACGAATTGAGAACCTCCTCCTTTTTTGAAGTCGGTTAAAAAGAGATTGCAAGAGAACTACTACGCCCATTTAATGCTTATATAATTCTATGTCCCACGTGACGTCACCGTCAGTCAGCTGCATGCGCAGGAACATACCGTTAGTCTGTGTATCCTGAGGTTCAATAAAGTTTAAACCAGCTGCATGTTTTTTAAACGTCTCTACGAGAATGGTATGTATTGTATTATGTACTACATTTAACTCAAATAATTAAGCAAAGCGTGAATCACAATTTTTGTTATGGATTTGCTCATATTGTTTAAACATTTCGATTCTTTTCAATTTTTGTAAATCGACAGTGTTGTCGAATTATTAAGAGAGAATGGTCGATTATTTGAGAACGTTTTCTTCATCACGACATTTACGCATTTTTGTTGAAAAGTGCCAAACTGCCGGCCGGCCGATCGTCACCACCCGTTGTAAAAGCCGAATAAACACCTAAGGTAAGGCCAAACATAAGGAAAAAATTAATGTTAACAAAAAATAATTTCAGTTCACTTATCTCGTACCAAAAGATTTTTACTGAGCCAAGATCCAACAATTCTCATTTCCAAAAATTTACAATACAAAGTGGATAACTAAATGTAGTAATACTGTAATACCTGTAATTATGCAAGGCAAAAAAGTACTTGAAGGTGGTACTGTAAATATAAAACGTAACGAAAATCAAAAGATATATTTTTCTTGTGGCATACAGGGTGAAACATAACTATGGGATCAAACGTCGGGAGGTTATTCAGTGCAATAGAAACACTTTGAGTACAAGAACCCATGTCCAAAAATATCTCCCTAAGGCGGCAATGGTTCAACGACGCTTTAAGTTATTTATGTGAAAAAATGTGTTTAATTGAGTGTGAACTATTGTTTTTATTCAAAAATAAATGAAAACAATGCTTTAAAACTTGATCAAATAAATTTTTTCACATAACCAACTTAAAACGTCTTATGGAAACATTTTCAGACATGGGTTCTTGCACTCAAATATCTTCTATTATTGCACTGAATAGCCTCTCGACTTTTTATCAGTTATTTTCGATTGACCCAGTATAGGAAAATTAAATTCGGACCACCCTACATAAAAAAAATTAAACATTTCTTAATCCTTACCTTCTTCATCGATTTCCCATTGTCTTAAACAGTCCCACTGTAATAATATCACCTGACTTTCCAATGTCCCATCTTCTCTGCACGCGTGCAACTTGATGCCCATGGTACCAATAGACAAAACCACGTGACCATCTTTGCGCGAATCGCACGCGCAATGCGGGAACGTCACTTCACCGTATCCGGGTAATTCCCGGGCCAGTTTAAGGTATTCCGAGGCGCGAGTTTTGTCTTGAAGCGCTTTGAGCTGGTACAGTCTTTCACCTGCGTGAATGCAGCCTCGATTCACCTCGTCTACAGCCTAAAAAGTTACGGTTGAGTTTAGCGGTGCAACGGCCCGGTTGTACAAACTCGGTTCAACCACAGAAAACAAATTGTACAGACTTCGATCAAAATTCTGTTCTACCATCGATATTGTTCAAGCTCTGAACATGCAACATAACCTAGTTTGTGTTGTTTATTGAAAGTAAGAATCTTTTGTAAAGTTTATTAGCAGACCTACTTGCACAATATGGATTTTTTAGGAGAATTAAAGGATGACGAAGATTTTTTAGAGCCAATTGCTCTGGTCGACAATCCTAGACTTTCTTAAACTTATACAAGTATGTTAAAGCAAACTGTCCTATTTATAATAGTCGGAAATGTTGCAATCTGTATTTTTGCATTCGATTTTTTTTTTGATTGTAACGAGCTAAATTTATATATCTTTTTTGAGAAATTGGTTGTTTTTGGTTTGAAAAAAGTGGTTTGACACATTACTATATGACATACAATAAAACTGATAAAAATAAAACACAAATGTAATTAACCATCAAAGTTTCAAACATAAACTGAAACACTGACGTTTGACAATTTTTTTTGCCTTAAAACACCAAAAAAGTATGAGTATGATGCAATGTTGGGAATTTTAAATTTTATATTCTCCAACCTACCCTGCTAATGCGGTTACTTTAACCGGAGATGGTATAATAGTATTTTCTTTGAACAACATTCATTGTTGTCTATCAGTTAAATCGAACTGTCTTTGATTGGTACAAATGGGCCTTAAGGAATTGGCAAATTAAAATTGGAATTATTACTACTGCTTCTAACAGACACACATGACTTAATTAATATTGTAGGTATTCAGCTCTATATAGAGGGTGTTATTGAAATACATGTAGATACTGAACCAAATTAATATTTCAGCTCTCCTAGAATGTGAAAAATATTTTCAAAAATAATATTTTTAAAAATACCAATAATTGAAGGAGTAAGTATATTTTGAAAATTTATTTGGCCCGTCATCTACAAAATCTAAGGTCATTGACCTTGACTTCCAAAGTCACAGTCTTTGTCTGCAATCTTAATCTCGATAGTCTAGTTGGAAACTACCCAATAACTTATCTTTTGGTGTAGTGAGGACTACCAAAAAAACCGCTTATTAATTATTATACAACTGCCTTAGATAAAAGAGACCAGAGATATAACATACACCGGTTTTAAACCTGCGCAAATGTTGTCAATTTCTAAAGAAGGGTTAACGGAGTGGGGGAACTGGGCGGCGACACGCGGCGATCCGAACTCTGTGACAGGGACCGGACTTTGTTTATTAGCATCTTAATGAACTATTAGGTTTATTTAAAAGGTGTTTAATCGAATTTTGTATTATGAAATCAAATTATCGTGATTTTTTAATATCAAACAGATGCCACGACATTTTATGTAAAGAGAAGACCTTTTATAGAATATTTCGTTAGCGTTTATTTACTACGGACTTTTCTGCAAGAGATTACAGTAAAATGTTGAAATAGAATATATTGTTAATAGAGCAAAAAATGATACTCATTGTCTACGAGTATTATAAAAATAGCATGTGCGCAGGCTAATACTGCAAATCTACCCTTATGAGTTGAACATTATATTTTTTCTACGGCTATTACATATTATTAAAAATTAGTCAAAATGAGAAAATGCTGTTTTGTATTGTAACCTCAGAAAAAGTATATATTGAGGCTTCTTTCTTTAAGAATATTAATTATTATAAAGGATGAGTCACATAAAACTCTAGAAATGCATATGTCTGAAACCAGATAACATTTTAAAATTTAAATCTATTAAAAGTCATTTGGTCGCTAGGGATGAGTGATTATCGAAATAAATTATCGATAATTGAAAATAATCGGTTATTTTCGATCAATAGATTATTTTCAAACGATATATTTTTTGTCATTTCCTTTAAAATCGACTACTTGATTATCTTTGAAAAATCAAAAATAATCAATTAATTAAAAATAATCAATTAATTAAAAAGTCGATTAACTGATAAATCGATTTAAAAAAAAAAAACAGAATGATCGATTATTTTAAATAATTAATTATTTTCGATCAATCGATTATTATCAATAATCTATTTTTATTGTATTTCCTTTAAAATCGTTAATTCGATTATCTTTGAAATACCGAAAATAATCGATAATTCCAAAATAATCGCCTAATCGAAAATAATCAATTAATTAAGAAGCCGATTCTATGATATATCGATTATTACCAATAATCTATTTTATTGTATTTCAAAAATATTCGATTAATTAAAAAGTCGATTAACTGACAAATCGATTTAAAAAAAAAAACAGAATGATCGATTATTTTAAATAATCGATTATTTTCTATCAATCTATTATTATCAATAATCTATTTTTATTGTATTTCCTTTAAAATCGATAATTCGATTATCTTTGAAATATCAAAAATAATCAATAATTCCAAAATAATCGCCTAATCGAAAATAACCAATTAATTAAGAAGCCGATTCTATGATAAATCGATTTTCCAAAAAATAAAACGAATTATCTATTATTTTCTAATAATCTTTTTTTCATATTTCCTTTGAAATTGATTATTCGATTATCGAAAATAATTGATTATTAAAAAGCTGATTATCCAATAAATCGATAATTTTAAAAAAATAACCAAAATATCGATTATGTAAAATAACCGATTATATTCAATCGATTATTTTCATATAATATCTTTGAAAAATCGAAAATAATCAAATAATTAAAAAACCGATTAAACGATAAATCGATTATTTTGAATAAATCTACTTTTTTTGTATTTCTTTAAAATCGATTAATACATTATCTTAAAAAAAAAACGAAAATAATTTATTAAAAACAGCGGATAAATAGATTTTCATTAAAAAATATCAGAATTATCGATAAATCGATTATTTTTGTAACCCCTATCGGTCGCTTGCTTTTATCTGAGCATTTAGCTCTAAAATTTAGAGATTCGGATTTTTTGATCCAGTTATCTTTGAAATCGCATTCGCTTGTATAATAAATAAATATTGCTAAATTTTGGATTTTTTTTAGTAAACGAAAATTATGTTCGAGTTGTTTAGGGGTTTGTAATGTAATGATATTTTTACATTAACACTGTCATTTTAATCTCCGTTTAACACAACGGTGGAATCGGACCTAACTCCTGTAACTTTAGTATTTTTTTTTGCTTGTACTAGATTACTTTGTTTTAAGACTGAAAATTCAATGTCACTTTCGATTTGACCGCAAATAAGATGAACCTTGAAATTTTAAGTAGGTCATCCTGTATTTCATCTAATATTCTTATAAAAATACCTTATAAAAATAAAATTTAGCTAGCAACTATGATTCTTTACCTCTTATTTATCTACCAAAAAGGGCTAAAAACTACCTTTAGAAAACATTCTTATAAAACTACTTTCTAAATACAAAATTTCGTTAGCAATAATGCCTATTTACTATTTATTTAAATTAAATGTTTAAAATTTTACCCTTTTGTAAATTTATGTAAGTAATATGAAATCTGAGTTTGTGATGCTTAATATTTATTGAAACCCCTTAATGCGGATCTGAAGTATTCAGCCCAGAGAATCATGGCGCTTTATGTCAAAACGTTAATAAATATTTACCGATGAAAACGAATATATTCATAACGGTAGTACTTGTATTATAAGTACATACAATTTTTCAAGATACATCGTGACATTTTGAACTTGAAATTGAATAACTAGAACACTTTAAATTGCTAAAATACCAACAAATAAATCAAAAAACAGCTGTCAATGGTGATTAAACTCAGGTGGAGGTGTGATCGCTGAATGGAAATCGGAGCAATTCGGGTGGCGTCGTGCAACAATGATTTTCAATTGGTGGGTTACTTTGGCTTAAAATAGACAACATGGGCAGTGTGAAATGTTACATCTTCGGTCTCTTTAATCTAAGACAACTGCATATACAATCATTTTGACAAAAAAAGTAATAATAAACACACTTCCAACCTTACAAAACGAGAAAAAAGAACTACTCTAAATCTCAGACAACCATGTTCATGATTTATTCTATATTTATTCATTCTTTTTAAAAGTATTGGAGTAATAATATTTTTTATCAACAACACGGTTAAACTATGGGAAGATCTTACAGTTACCAATCTTATGGTCTATCAAGAAACTATTCTTTCTAAATTTTATGAAAATATGCAAACTGACATAATATATTTTGATTTTAGTAAAAGACAGGAGGTAGTTTGTCCATCCAATATGACGTGCCCTCAGAGATTCCACAAGGTTCCCATTTGGGACCATTACTGTTCTTACGATACATCAGCGATATTGAAGACAAAGATATATTGCTTAAGTCTTGTTTAGATTAGGAGCGGCGAACGTGGTGACGCGATAGCGATGCTTCGAGCGACGCGCCGTCCTAAAAACAACCTAGTGCTATTAAACGCAAACGTTCAGAGTGAGAGCGACCAGCAGAGATGCTCTGAAATATGAATCCAATCGCTCGACGCAATTATACTAAAACTAGATAAACAAGTTGAAAATGTATAAAAAAGTAGAAATCTACTAAATGTGACAACGTCGGATCAAAGGCTCCCAGTCACAGTGACCTCACCAGGTGAAGTTAACTGTCGTGACGTAATCTACGTGCGATGCACAAAATGGTGCTAAAATTAGCGTGGTTTCAAGCAGGCACACTGTTTCACATATCTTTTTAAGTACAGGCATTAGCGGAAACCCCTCGCGTTCAATAAGAATATTGCACCGACAGACACGAACAGTGCAGTGGCATATCAAAAATGTAGAGATTAACACGTACGAGAATAAGAAAAATATTTACCTAATGAATTTATATTTTTATGAAATTTAACTGGGTGTTCACTGCACAAATGAACTTATGGAGATGGAAAAACGGCCCCTGCTTAAAATCATAGAAGTGAAACACTTAAATAATTTAGTTAACATTTTCAAACTACTTTTTATGACATCTAAACAATATTAAAAAAAAACACTTAAAACGTGTACGTCATTTTCAGGGTCTGTTTCTCTGATGCCACAGTAAAGTGGCGAATTGTGACGAAAATCTGTGAATGTAAGTTAACAGATATATAAATAAATTACATATTTACCTGCCAGAAGACATAAGAAGTAGCTTGTGCATCATTCATTAATGTATACTCCTTGTTAATTGAAAATAACCATTTCCTAATACTCAGACAGGTGCTCGTAGCAGTGCTGTAATTTTGTATGTACAAATTATGAGGATATTCATTTGGTTGAAGTTTCCTCTCTAAAATTATTTAAAATAAAAATAAATATCACGGAATAAAAAAATAGGATGCTTACCAAAATTATATTCAACAATTTCAAATAAATAAAAGTAACATGATACTTTCTTATGCATTCCAATTTTTCTAACAACTGCGTCATAAACTTCATCGGCGTTAGCACTCTTTTTTAAAGACACCGTCACTACTTCTCTATCTGGTAATAATACCTAAAAAAATGTAATGCATTTAAAAAAAAATCTATTTGAAATAGTTGTGATTTACTTTTAAGTCGACCGGATTCGTGTTATTTTCATCATCTTGATCAGTTAGGAACTCTTGCATTACATCAGACTCGGCTATCACTCTTACTGCACACACTCTTTCTAAATATTGCTCTAGACCTCTGCGACGTGCATCCAACTGCTGTTCACTCATTGTAAACGGCCACTTTCCAGGTAATTTTGGAAAAGTAAACCCTAAAAACATTTCTATTTTAGAGATTGATGAAAAGAGAAGGTTTAGGAAAATTTCAGACACCTGGTTCTAAGGAATTAGGGAACCAAGATAAAGAATAGAAAGATAATATGGAAGATCCTCCAAGGCCCACCCTTGATTGTGTAGCTAGTGATTTTATGATGATGATTGTTTAATTTATTAGCCTTTTTGCTGCGAGGTTTATATTATAAAAACGTAAAACACGGAAGTGGGGTCTAAATGAACCTCAAAGTTTGTTTCGTTTTCTGAGCCACTAGATATTTTAAAAATTCTATTTTTTGCTTTGTCTAATGCTGAAAAACATTTGTAAAGGATTCATTGAATAATAATTAGTTTAAAAAATATATATTATAAATTATTTTCCACACCATATTTCATAAACCACTGTGAATACAATGCAAGTTAAATGGGAAAAAGTTTACAAATTATGAGACCAACTTACTAATGTTTTGAAATCCAAGGTATCAGGTCTGATTACCAAGATATTTGAGGAAAACTAATAATTACTTTTAAAAATCGCAGGTTGATTTGATTTTATGGTCTTTTGCCCTGTATCACAAATTAGATTAGTATTAATAAGGGTGATTTACAAATAGAATCTAACTCCCATTTTTAGTAAAAATATTTGCGAGTTCTTATAGACTCTAGCCTAGGGCTGCCAGATTTTCAGAAATGAAAAGCGGGAGGTTTTAATTTTTTAAGAAAAAACATTTATTTTAATAGGTACTTAATATTCAAACACCTACTAAATATACAAAGATATTACAGTAGCATAAAAAACAAATTTCAATGCCCGATTAATAAAACATTTCCAACAAGTCAACGTACAAGCAGTGGCGTAGCCAGCCATTTTTCACGGTACCTCCTCTTAATTTTGGTATCATTTTTGGCAATCTTCATGTCACGACTGTACATTTGTATAAACAAACACTTAAAAAAAATTAACAATAGGAGGTTTAACACTTGAATTAAAACATAATTCCAGCTCTGTGGGTTTTTTCTGTAAGTACAAAGAATACTGAAAAATAAGTTATTGCTTCGTTTCTGTTTGTGTTTACAGAATCACGCCACCTGGTATTCTGTAATATTGACCGCTAACTTTGGATGTCTGTTATATAAGTAAAATATAAATATATAAAAAATATACATAATTCAACAAAAAATGCTTACATTAAAATAGTTAAACTTTTCAAAAGATGTAAAATTCCTATTGTAACCAATTAGTTATAAAATTTCAAATATTTTGAACTGTTTCCTACTCTACCAAGAAGACTTTTTCCTTCCTTTTCAAAACTTTTTGCAAATTCTTTCAGTATAATTAAATTTAATCATTAGTTTAGATTCTGTTTCTATAGAAAGAGAATGTCTTTCTGTCCTCCGGCTACAAACATTAGACTAAAAATGTTCCCACTCGTCGCGTTTGAGTAGGAAGAGAAAAAAACATAAAATAATAAACCCATTGCTGGTCAATTTTAATGTCTTTAAAATTTAGTGGGTTTTCCAAATATGATGAGAACTTTACAAATTCTTCTAAAAGTAGGTCAATATCTACACCAATCTCAAACTCATCAGACATTTTTATGAAATAGTCCAATTTAGGGTTTGTTTTCAAATCCATCGGCCCTAGACTTATAAAAGATGGCGCTTGTAGAGATTACGACGTTTGTAGACATGGGCGGAATGACCGATAATTTGATAGTATCGTTAGCATATTAATAATTTTTTAATATCTATTCAATGTAAATTCGGGGCAAATTAGGAGATTTTTGAAAAATCGGGAGGTTTATAGCTTAGTGTAAAAAGCGAGAGGGAGTGTAAGAAATCGGGAGGTTCCCGCCTAAATCGGGAGGTATGGCAGCACTACTCTAGCCATGAATAACTCAGAATAAATGTGGATAAATATGCCTAAAACATGCAATTCCTAGTGTGTTTTTTTACCACTCTGCTTAAAAACATTTAAAGACAAATATGAAATGTAAAAACCGTTAGGTTTGATAGATATTTAAAATTCCCAATTATACTAATATAAATGTTGACTTACATCTTAAACATGCAAGTAAATTTTAAGCAAAACATAAAAACACTAACCTAAAAATTCCTTTTTGAGATCGTTATGCAACTTTGCGAACTCCCTGTATCTTCGAGAACAGAGATGCCTGCCGGCCATGTATATATTGAAAGCGACATATCTTTCACCGCCACGTTCGTTGTGGTGGTAGTCGGGAATACTGATGGGTAAAGATCTTTTTTCGCTGTAATCATAATACACTTGGTTGTCATCTGTTGGTTCCAGTCGTTCAGCTTCCTAAAAAGTACTCAATATTTGAAAAGACTCAATAAATCAAAATAATTGACTATCGTATAAAATAATTGGGCTAAGGAAGATAATTAAATAATATTCAGAGTGTAATTTTTCTAGTCTTAGTTAATAAAAACCACATTTTAGGTAGACGGGTTATAAATATAGTAGAAAATATTTCTTACTAATATGTAACTCATTTTTTACTTTCCTGTCTGTATACAGAAGATAAGGAAAGTATAAGAATCATGATTTTTTCGACGTCCAGTTTTCGATCGATTTTTACGTTTTGTGTGTGTTTACTTTATAAATCATGATTGTATACAGAGAAAAACACCAAATTTTAAATTTAAGATTTATTCCGGTCTGCGGTGAACTGTTTAGATTTTGGACATAGTACAAACATCGAGGGGGGTACTGTATAAGGGACCATTTTTCTATTTTATGGAATATATCTGTTATTTCGCTAGAAGAAAATTCTTTGGTCTTTTTCAAGAAAATTGACAAAAAGTACAAAAAAATAATTTTTCGAAAATTGTTCAAATAAAAGTTTGTGATGTCATTCTCTATAATTATTGTCCTATATATAATTTCTCTAAAATTGACCGTATTCGACATATTTGAGACAAAGTACAAATAAAAAAAAAGCTGAATAAATTTTTGGCATAGTCGCAACATATAGGGGAGGCTACTTTATAAAAAACAGGTCGTTTTTCTACTTTATGGAATATAGTTATTTACCCTTGGAGAAGATAATTCTTCAAATAAAACTTGCTTGTAATGTTATTCTCTATAATTTTTGTCATTTACATAATTTTCCTAAAATGGTCCGTATTCGAGAAATTTGACCAAAATTTCAAAAATCTAATTTTTAAGAAAATTGTTCAAATAAAAGTTGTTAGCGATATCAATCTCTATAATTTTTATTCTATTGTGACGCGGCGCCGTCTCTGAACATTGTTTACTCCTTGCTCGCGGTATGAAGTCTAGTGCTGGTCATAGAGGCAAACGCACAGCTTCGAGAAGCCTCCGGAGGGATCCCTTTGCAGTGTATGAGTCATAAAGAGGCAGTTATCGAACGTTCTGGTACAGAGCTGGCTTTATATAAATAGCGCGAGTTTGTCGACGGACAACAAGTTTCAAATTAAGTGTTGGACAGAAAAGACAAATTGTAATAAATAAATTAGAATTGTGAGTTATAATAGTGCCTAAGTATTATATAAATTAATTAGTACGTTATAAATGAATTGTAAATAAAGTGTTTTAAATAAATAAACTATAAATAAATTAAACGTTACACTATACAGGGTGTCCCAAATTGTTTTACCCATGCTGTAACTTCTAAACCATGCAAGATAATTGAACCGGATAAAAGTCATCCATTATAGTTAGCGGTGTACTTTGAAAAAAATAAAAATTTGATGACCCACCCTCAAAAACTACCCCCCTGGAACAACCCCCTCAAATATTATTAACGACACCCTAATTTTTTTTTCTGCTCATTTTTGTAGTCGCTACTTTTCTCTGTACAACTGTTTTTAAAATTTTGAAATCGCTCCATAAATAAGTGAGAATCGTTTTTTTTTTCATTTTCATCTAGTTGCTTGCTGTCAAATTCATGGTAAGTTTTCTAGCGAATTATAAACAATACTATATCAATCTGTCTCTTGTCAAATAGAAGTGCAGCTTAAATACTCGCAATAATTTAAGAGTTTGTCAAGTCCTAACAAATTATTTCAAAATGCCGACTCTGTTTAGTTCCAACGAGTACACCGATATGATAATTATTTACGGCGAATGTCGCAAGAATTCAAGACAAGCTAGACAATTATACTATGAACGTTTTCAGAATAGAACAATTCCCTCAGTCAGAACGTTTTCCAATTTAAAAAGAAGTCTTAGACAAGGACATTTTCCTGACGGTAAACATCATAGAGGACACAACAGAATGATCAGAATTGAAAAAAATATTATACACGTTTTGGCTTACGTTCATATAAATCCACATATTTCTATCATAGATTTGACACTCGAAATTTGAATAACCAAAAGTAGCATCCAAAGAATATTAAAAGACAATAAATATGATCCTTATAAAATACACTTGGTCCAAGGTTTACTCCCTAATGATCTTGAAAGACGCTTAACTTTCTCGCTGGAATGCAGGTGAAACTAAATGACGATGCCACATTCTTAGATAAAATATTATGGAGCGACGAATCACGTTTCCTAATAATGGTGTATTAAATCGTCATAATTCCAATTACTGGTCCCCAACAAATCCCCACTGGGTAAGAGAAACAAGGTTTCAAAATATTTGGGGCATAAACGTATGGTGTGGTTTGTTCAATGGTAGGATTATAGGTCCTCATTTTTATGAAAACACTTTAACGGGAATAGGATATCGTGATTTTTTAATCAATACCGTTCTTGATTTGTTGGAAGGTGTTCCTCTTAATCAAAGACGTGATATGTGGTGGCAGCAAGATGGTGCACAAGCTCATAATGCACAAGTTGTGAGCCAATATTTGGCAAACACTTATGGAAACCGTGTTATATCTATGCATTCTCCAATTATCCAGTGGCCGGCTAGGTCACCTGATTTGTCGCCTCTTAGTTTTTTTTTTTCTGGGGTACTATAAAGGACGTAGTATACGAAACAAAACCAGCGGACTTGTAGAAAAAAAATTAGGGTGTCGTTAATAATTTTTGAGGGGGTTGTTACAGGGGGGTAGTTTTTGAGGGTGTGTCGCCAAATTTTTATTTGTTTTAAAGTACACCGCTAATTATAATGGATGACTTTTGTCCGGTTCGATTATCTTACATGGTCTAGAAGTTATAGCCTGGGTAAAACAATTTGGGACACCCTGTATATCGACTCATGCAACGAAGACTATAGTAACTCATTATTTCTAGTTTTGAGAAAATCTAAGATAATGTATTTGTAATATTTTATGGCCTAAAATGACTTACTATATTTTATGGTAGTATTTCTGGTTGCCTAACCTCTTTGTTTAGACAATTAGGCATTCCAACGACCTGTCCAAATGGCTACCAGTGGGTAATGACAGTTTAGATATGGCAACCCTGTTGTCATGTTGCCATTAACAGGGTGAATGATACATATATAGTTATATAGATTGCTCAAAGCTGGTCGTTTACGAGCGGCCATATTGCCTGGCAAATGTTTATTAATTTGAATTGGTTTAGCAAAAATGTGTTTTAAAACCAATTTTTAGCCTTTAGATATTTAAAAAAAAATAATTGCTTACATTTTTACTTCAAGGCATACGCTTATGTTTATTTTGAAAGATATGGATAATCAATCTATGTAACTATCTATTTCATTGACCTTGTCAAATCACCAGGTCTACAGGGTTGCCATAATTTTGCAATATCATAACCCGTCAAAGCCCACTGGTAGGCATTCAGTTTGGAATGCCCAATACATCACGGCCGTCTGTACTGTAGGAGCGGCTACATCCGTAGATATTATCCGCAATGTTGCCAAATTTAGATCATTTCTAGTGGCGGGAATATTAAAATTTTAAACTATTCAAACATGTAACGGATCTGTATGCATTATTTGATCGTAATTTACTTCCACATACAAAATAACTAATTTTTAAATTTCTTAATTCAGAAAGTTTAACACAGGCATAGGTGTCGATTATAAACTGCCATTTTCAAAACAAAACAATTTTTAAGGATTGAATATATATTTTAAATAAAATATATTACAAATTGAAAATACATGTATTGATATTTAATGTGAAAATTTGAACATATATTTAAATTGCCAAAAATTATTATATTACATTCTTTGAACTTTTTTTAGCTCCTTGATGGTAAAAATTATCATGGACACTCTCTTTGAGTGTGTCGGACTCTTATGGCTAAAAACACCACCTTTACTGTTTCCCATTGCACCAAAAAACTGCTCTCGCATTTTTATCAATGTCATAATTTCATTATGCGTCGATATATTTTTCATCTATAGGTAAATAATGTTAACATTTACTCAAATAAAGATTATTAATTATTATTTTCTGTTACATCCATGTCCGCTAGCGCTCGAGTTATAAAGTAGTCTACTTCTCCAACGATCGACTAACCCACTGTTCAATGTTGGGAATGAATGTCTATGTCCAGCATCCCTTCCAACTAGAATCGCACATATCTTCATTTGGCTTTGGATGTGTCTTAGTCAACCCCTTGATAATTTGCAAGTTTATTTAATTGATGAATATATCTGAGAATTGATAGGTCTTGTACCTAGGTAGGTACAAGAATTGATAGACTTCTTGTACCTAGAGGTAGGTAAAGTGATAGAAATACCCAAGTCCTCTAACAAAAGAGTATCACATTTTTAGTTACAGTTTGCAGGTATCTTCTTATTTCAGTTGTGCTTTGTTGTTGTTTAGCAGCTTAAACTTTATTAAGGTGTGTTTACACAAATACAAGAACAGTTTACTTTCGTACATTATAAATAATTTCCCAGCTGAACATTGATTTTTAGCTTTTTAAAGATCATCCAGAACAGGTGTAAATTCGTGAAACAGATTCTTTGTTAAAAAAATATATTATAACAAGAGGCACAGAAAATATTTATTGGATAACTCATATATTTTCAGTCTCATCACTACTTGTGGTTGTACCTAAATTAATAATAATTGGTTTTAAATCAGAAACATCTAATAGCTTGTATATTTTCCAATCGGAAACAATTATGTTTTTAGTGTGTCTTGCATAATTATCCCAGTATTATATCAGTAACATTATTCAAAGCTTCTGACAAAGTCTGAAATACATCTTCCAGTGAAGACATTGTTGTTAAAACTTTTTCATCATAAAACCATTTGCACTGTGACCACATCATCTCTATGGCATTGTACTGGGAGTGATGTGGGGAAGTTCTTAATATTTTATGCCCATATTCCTCAATATATCTAGGTGGAATTCTTTTCGTGGTAGATATTGACATACAACTTCCCAAATCTGATCTT